GGCTTGAGGCAATGCCCCATGGCAAAGCAGTGCCCTGATCTCTCCCCTTGCTTTGCTTGCTGAGGGGACAGGGGAGGTCTCTGTCCCTGGTCCCAGTGCTGCTCAGCTCCAGGCTCCACCCAGAAGCTGGGAGCTGAGTAGCGCCAGGACAGGGGAGCTCTCTGTCCCATCCTCCCAACCCTAACCCCCACCCCCAGTCCCGGCACTACTTAGCCCCATCCCTATTCCTACCGGAACTAAGGACAGAGAGCTCCTCCAAAGTGTTAATGCATGTGAGTTTACTATACTTTCTCATATTCTTATTTTATAATGTGGGTTCACTTATTAGCATCTCTCCAAACTTACTGCTTTACATACCTTTTAATGTAAGACACGTGGAGATGCTGCTGGAAAAGGAAGAGATCACCTGGGCTTTTTTAAACCCACTGGATTTCCTGAAAGTAAATCTTGTCAGGCTCAAGAATCTTCAGTTGAAATACAAATCCAGAGAAAAATACTGTTCCACGGGCAATGTGTATAGCTAGAATGTAACTCAAAATGGATCAAAAAAGAACAAGACATAGAGGGGAGAAGAGATTTGACAAGAGGAGAGGAAGCAAGGTGTGGTGAGAGTAGACAAAGTTTGTACCATAAAACAGGTGAAGGAATGGGAGAATAAACATAGCAGGAGAACAGAGAAAAGGGAAGTAGAAAAATAGAGAGCAGCGTTTCCAACCTGGACCAGGTTTCTTAATCGAACTGTGCAATCCAGTGGGATATAAAGTAGAAATCTCTTTCTTCTCCTGCAGCAGTTTCCCATGTCCTATATCAAAGGGTCTGTATATCAGTAAGATTGGAGAGATGCTTATAAAACCTGTGTTTTCTCTTCCCTCCAGAAAATTATAATCTAATTTTCTCTGTATGACCTCTTTTTCTCCCATTTTTTAATTATTATGACACTTTCCCTTCCCAGCCGTGTTTCTCAGTTACATGACCTAATGAGATAATGGTTCTTGGTGCATAGTGATTGTTAAAGGTTTTTTAACAGCTTCCAGTTTTGAGTGCTTTTTTAACAAACAAATTTAATTTGTGACCCTATGGTTCATGAAGCTACATAAAGTGAACTGTCTTGAAGATCTTTAAGGAAACCATGTAATAAGTATTGTGGAATTTATATTAATCAAGTATACATCATCTATAAATATAATACCTACTGTATATTCCCCCAATCTGATCTGTTTTCCAGGATGAGAACAGGTGCTTCATTTCTGGCCAAACTTGTAACTATATCCTGCATAACATTTTCTATTGCTTCAAGAACTTCAGTACTGAAACAAAGAAAATTAATGACACTTTTGTATTAATAAACATAATTCCTTTCCCACCTATTATTACCACCTATTAACCTTCCTGAAAATCTTATTTTTTGCAACGTGTTATTTTTTTAAATGTACACAGCAATACAGTCTACTACTCATACTTTCCTGAACTTTGTGTAGCATAGTTTCCCTAGAACCCTATTCCACACGCATGACTGAATTCAGCACATTTTCATTCACTCCTCATACCGTCATATTTTCAACCAGCTGAACTTTTAGACCAACTGGTTGGTTTGAGACTAATGATTAATGGTTTGGTTTAAATGATGTAATATTGGCTTTGGCTATGATCTGTGTTAACTTGTTTTTAAATGCTGTAAATTGCAAAAATGTTCAAGAGTACAAATACTTCCTGTTGTACCACAGCACATTAACCTTTTGATCTGCTGCCTTGAACGAACTGTTGAGGTTTTTAATTATATGAAAGCTTTGGCTCGATAGACTCACTGTGAAAAGAATAAAATGCATGTCTTGCACCTAAATAGACAAACTAACCAGGCATCAAATTCCATATAGCAAAATAGTAGGTTGGTCTGAGTGTTATGACAGATGCCTTTTATTTTCATAAGCAATCTGATTCCAACATTTAAGCTGTCCTTAAAATTACAAGTGCACTGTATGCCAGCATAAATCTAGGTAGGAACAAGAGAATAGACCAAATGTATTTTAGCTCAAAGTCCAAACTGCAAAGCCCAAATCTGTCACTAGCCAATAAAATAAGGAAGAATATCACCTAAACATAAACATGCACAGTCAGGAAATTAATTGTCCATACCTTGCATTTTAAAGTTTGCACCGAATAATCTAAATTTCTCCACCAGTGTCCTTAAGAAATATTATGGTAATATTACAACCTTTCATTCACTAGCTGAACGTGCTTCTTCCATTTCATATCTTAGGGTATGGACTTACATACTTCTGGAGGAGTTTGATGAGAACATTTCAAGAGGGCAGCAGCTGCTATGCTCCAATTGTTATGTGAGGACAAGTCAGGAACAATACAAATGTAGCAAAACTGTTTCTATTTCAATAGTTTCATCTCTGTCCTCATTTTTATGAATACAGTTTTAGAAGGTCAAAGATTTTTTTTAAAAGCACTGTTTAATACTATTAGGACCTTGGTATTACTAAAAATGCTACAGCTAGCAAAGATAGGTATGCATTACTCTCATTTTACAGAAGTGGAAATGAAACACAGATATATTAAGCAACTTTCCTAAGGTCATATAGCAAGGCATATGAAAAGTCAATAAAAATAAAAAGGCGTGATCATGCACCCAATGTATAAGTTCATTTCCCATTGTAAAGCTGCTGCATAATCACATCCTATTTCTCTCGAATCTCAGATTCCTTCACATTTAAACTCGCTAAAACTTTTTGGTTTCAATGGATGTATGGATAGATATAGTCAGTCATTTGAAACTATGGCATTGTCTTGTTGCTCAGGTGTACTTTTACAGATAGGCCCTACTGACTTTACCAAGCTGTTTGGGTATATTTCCAGGTGAACCTTGAAGTTTGCTATAGATCTGCAAATCAGACTCTTTTACTCAGACTCTTTATCTTCCCATTTCATTTAGTAAAATGCATCATCTGCTCTATGCTGTCAATTGGGAAGGCTGCATTTATTTTCTAGCCTAATTTATTGCTTTCTGTGCCAGCAGAGGCTGGAGGTACTCCAAAGGAGGGAAAGGAGGGTGGGACTAGCTCTTTGTAACCTTGACATATATTCTCTTCTCCCTTTCATTTCCCTTCAGGGGATGAACTAAATATTAATTTAATGAACTCTACGTTAAACAGGGCTAGGTATCATAGATCAAGAAAGGGCCTGTCAGCTTGCTTCTAGCAGGTCAAAGTCGTTTTGGTGTGGCCCAAGGAATCAATTGAAATAATATTATGCCATAAAAGAATAAAAAGAACTAAAAACCTAATTTTCCAATATCTTTAGCAAGCAATGCTATGTAGACCAGCTGCTAGACTCGCTCCACATGAAAGACTGTAGTTGACACCACTACTACGTTTATTGCACACTTAAACAACTGATCTTCGAACTGCCCAAACCAGCGTATTTCTTCATACCCTACTATCACATAGTCCAGGAGCTTCCGCAGCCAAATTAAGTTTTATTTCAGATTAAACTGGCAAGATTCTCCATTTCTGTGTCAGCAACTGGAACTGAGAGCCTTGCACTGAAACGCTACATGTAAAGGGAGCCTTAGACCCTTTTTTTTGCAAGTGTGTCTCAGATTAAAGATTTTCAATCATTTATCTGCCCTCTCAGTCGAACTAATAAACTCGGCTTAAAATTTATGACATTGCAAAAGACATCTTTGATACTAAACATTGTTATTTAGAGCTGGCATGTGGCAGCACGAGTGAAACCTGATGCTGGGGGGGCTGTGTCATTTTATTCCTTCCAGAGGAAGGCTTTATGGCTGGCTCCTGGGCTGCTCTAAGTCAAGGAGGACATACTGTATGGATCATAGCACAAGGACCTATTTTCCTTATGGGGATTAAAATGAATGATCAAGTTAAGGTGTATTCAGTGCTGCAACCTCTTTTTTTTTCCTAGGAGGAGTGCATCTCACACACTGGTATGAAAGCAGTGAGATGCTGTCCGTGGGCAGTATCAAAAGCACCACTTTTGCCCACGGTGTATTTGTTGTGAGACAACATGTCCCTCCTATTGGCATGGACAAACTGGGTCATGCTGTGCAGTGGTGTAGTTGCCTGTATCACCTGTATTGTGGAAGGCCTGCATGGACATCTTTGGTAACCTCACCATGTTTTACCTGGTGATTTGGCAGCTGTCACTAGAGGGGCCATGTTCCCTCACCAGGGAAGCCCTGTGCTGGTGCAACAGGCTAAACGCAGACCAGTCCTGCTTCCCGGCGAGGGAGGAAGACATCCCGAAGCTCTCAGCAGTGCAATTAAAATCAGTTATACGGGCATTGAATATCAAGGAGTCGCGTGCCCCAGCCCTAGGAGCAGGAGGAGCGTGGAGCCCCTGCGGGAGCAGCAGCGTAGAATTAACAGCTTTTCCCTCCTTTTCTGACTGACCGAAGGTGTTTCCCGCCCTCTCCAACCAATGGCTTTCCCTCCTGGTCCTGACCAACTTGAGGCTTTTCCCGCCTTTTCTGACTGACCAACAGCCCTTCCCGCCTTTTCTGACTGACCAACAGCATTTCCCTCGTTTTTTGACAGACCAACGGCCTTTCCCGCCTTTTCTGACTGACCAACAGCATTTCCCGATGGATGCCTCTCCCCACCTTTGCTGACTGTCCACTGGTTTTTCTTAACTAGCCAGCAGCTTCCTCCCCCCTTCATGACTGATGACCTTTCCCACTTAAATTCAGTAGCCCCGGAGCAAGGGCTGGGAAAAGCATGCGCTCCCTGGTCCCTGATTGCCCTAAATTGACCTTTCCTGCCTGGCAAGGTGGCAGGCATGGCAGGCTTCTTAACAAGCAATGAGAAAAGCTGCCATGCAAGAGAGCTGGGGAGATAAGAAGTGAGCTTAAGAAAAGGGCCTCACGGCCAGAAAAAGTAAAAGATTTTCTCAGCGGAGGGAAAGAAGTGGATCCTAGGAACTGAGAGGAAAGCAGGGTGCAAGAACAGGCGCCTACATCTGTGCAGACAACCTCTGGCCAGCTACTACTCCCTAGAGGCATTACAAGTGCAAGAAAGGGCGGCCCCCCTGTCACAGAAAGTGCGACAGGCAGGAGGAGGGAAGGGGTCTAGGGAAAGGTCCTCACATGATTTATCAGACACAAAGTAAGAGAAATACAGGGGGAAGAGCACAAAGAAGAGATGCTGAAAATTGCACTGCACTATTATCAGCCCAAAGTGTTCAGAAATCATAGGACAGGCATCCCTCCCTGCCTTGCAAAGACAGCAAACAACCTAAAAGCTTGAGATTTAAAAAAATAAAAAAAGCGTTTGGATTTTTTTTAGTTGCCTTTGGGTTTTAGGTTTGGAATCCACACTGGTGATGTTTTGCAGGTTTCTCCACAACCAGCACGCTGGAAAGTTACCCGAGAAAAGCAAAACCAAAAAGCAAACAAGCAAAGACCCCCACCCTGATGCTGGGGTTGTTTCATGCTGCCTTTGCTCTTTTCAGTTGTTAATCTGCTTATTCGACTTTTGTACTGTCGACTTCAAACTGGTCCTTGTCGCTGTCGGATGAGAAGTGGCAGGGTTGAAATCTGATTAAGAGATAAGTGCATGGAAGATGTATCTATATTAGGGATCGTTTTTGTTTTTTTAATCCGCTGTTGCTAACCGTGGGTTTGCTGCACTGTAATTAATAACACTGGGAGATGTTTGTGTAGTTAGCTGCCAACAGCATTTTAAGCGCAGGATTGCTTAAACTTGTCCTGAGCAGAGCCGGATGAGATGGTGCTTAAAATGCGAGAAGCAGATGGGCTTCCTTTGGGGTCCTGGGGTTGCTAGTACCAATGAACCCTAGGGCCCTCTGCCCAGAGGAGCGAGCAGAACAAATCCAGAGTGAGTTGGTAGTAACAAGTCCACAAACATATTCTTTCAAGAAAAACCTCAGGCTATGATGAAATGAAAACAAAGTACTTCAATTAAAGAGACAAACAAAAGAAGGGGAAATGAATCAATCCTTGAAGTTCTCAGAGCTTTAATCTTACTGTTTTGGCCTTTAGATAGCTTGAGCT